TAAAGCAGATACTTTAAATAATTGACGAAAGGCTTCTCTCTCAGGTAACCTCTCTGAGCCAGAACTGCAGGATGGGGGGAAAAAATTAAGATTAATAATCATTATCCATCTTCATATTTCGACCACAGTAACAAAATTACCTTGAATTTACAGAATGTAACAACCAATGAGTGAATTTGACCAATGACTAAAGTAATGACTGAATTTAGCGAACAGTAAAAAAGAAACAAGAGTTAACGTTGTTCTTACAGTTCAGGTAGTTTGGGTTTGCCAGACATTGAACAAACTCCAGCTCCAGCTGAAAGCGCTGTCTCGCCTGCTCGTCTGTCAAAGCACAAATAGAAGCGTAAGCAATGTTTGTGTTTGAAAAGAAATAATACAAATAATCATTAGTAAATGTATTCATGAACTACCAACGAACAATACTTGTATTAGTGCATAATTAAAATGCAAGTTCATGCTTGACATTAGTTGATGCACCGTAAGTTGAGATTACTTTATTTCATTAATACTTTTAACAAAGACGAACAAACACTGTAATAAATATAACGATTCTTGTTTGTTCATGTTAGCAAACATTGGCTAACGACGATACTACCTTAATGTTAAGTGTTACAGAAATTGCTTGAACAACATATATCTGCGCCAGTACAGAAAATAACACATAGTGTAGTACCTCTAAAACGTTGTATAACTTAATATGATCAAAACGAAACTAAAATACGTTACCAAACAATTGTATTTACGTTAACTGTCACATTGCTAGGAATCTCGTGGGCAAAGATGTGCTAAATAACAATTCAATCTAATTTTAACAAACCTGTTTCCATAACACCAGCCATTACGGACAACGAGAATTCAGACGACGCTGAAATATCTGGAAAATGATTAGTATAAAAAGATTTTTTAGAGCGCGATTACCAAAAACAACACATTACTCATTGTTTATGCGGACATAGACCGCTGACGCCATTTTTGCCATAAAACCAGTGCTGCTGTCGTAAAAGTGTTTCACGACATTTGCACCTTTTTTTTAAATAATAAAGAATGAAAACTTACAACCACAATCAGGAGATCAATATAAGAGAGATACAAAATAGGAACAATACAAACTACATTTGTAAGGGGTAAGTAAATTACACTTGTATAAAATTGTATAAAAATAAATTAATTAAGAGCTATTTAACTCAAATCAGAGTCAACAGTTCTTCATGTAGAGCCAAGTATCTGACACATTTTTTGTTGTTGTTACACGTACGCAAAGATTTGAGCAGGAGTCAACTTTAATGAGAAAATGTCGAAAAGTAGGGACTGAAACAATGCATATTTGTATAAAATATTTCCAAACAAGATAAAAAGTTGAAAACAAATTCTTCAGATTTATTCTGAGTAATAACAAACACTTTATTTTAAACTAAAATATTGTGCAAAGGTAGGAGGAGTGTTTAATAACGATAAAGGTCAAACCAAAATTTCTGAACAAATTCACACATACAAAATAATTGTATTAAAGTTTCATCATCCTCACCACAAAATGTACAACTACTCGGAATATCAAAATGTTTAGAAACAAATAAGTAAGCCGAATAAAGTTCAGGCAATATTTTAAAAAAGTATTTATGAGGCATTTGCACCTTTTTTTTTCGTAGTAATATTTGTAGCCTACAAAATACATTTTGTGACTTGGAATATAAGAAAAAAAAATCTATTTTCCATGATAATTTGGTTAAAAAGGTGTTCTATTGGTCTCACAGCTTAAAAGATGAAGGATATTTACTGACTTATAGGCTACTGAATTTTTTTGAGAAGTTTAGTTCCTGTGCCTCCACAAGGCCTGGCGGGGCTTTTGCAGAGTTACAGTGAACCAAATAAACTAACAGTTAAAAATGAGATTTAATTACATGGTGTTGATTTCAAAGATAGAAAATGTAATAATAAATTTTGTAGACGCTTGATTTATTATCTTGCCACTTTTAGACACAAATACTTTTGGAATAATCTGAGAATATCTATTGGAACTTGATCTGGACTTATAACAACAAGTATTGTGTCACTAATAAAGTGAAATTATACATAAAATATATCCAACCAACCAATTTCTCAAAAGATGATCAAAAGTTGATCTTTCTGAATTTGTGTTTATTTGCGGAGTGGATGTTGAGACTCTTATGCATTTGTTTGTTGATTGTATATATGTTAAATATTTCTGGCTTTATGTTGAATGTCTATTTAATATACTAAGTGGTCACAGAATTAATTTAAAGAAAAAGAGATGTCAGATGCGTAGATCAAAAAGATATAGATAAGAATCCCCTGTTAATGTTAAATCTTTTGATATTATTAAGTTTCATATACACAAGTGTTATTGTTCAAAGAGAAAGCCTAACATTTTTCATTTCAAAGCTGATTTAAAAAAAATATTTTTATAATCTTAAAGGATTTTCAAGTCATAAAGCAACTGTGGATCTACTCCAAAAACAAAACTCCTCTTTTTTTATGGTAATTGTAAACCCGCTCTTGTTCTTTATTTGCTTTTTCTCTCCTTCTTTCTTTCTTTTTATTTTGCTAACAGATTTTATGCTAAAATGTGAATATCCTATTATAAAATGTGTCATGCATTTGATTGAAAATGTTCAGTAAATACAATTCAAAAAATGTGACTTGGAAGAAATCATTGTTCATCTTTTTTTGTGAATGTATCTGCTTGTATTGTTTAAATACTTTTGACATAAATTACTTGTATTACAGCTTTAAGTTTTGCAATCGGTGCATTGTTAATCTGTTTGTTATAATGGGTACTTTTTTTTTTAATTGATCATAAGTCATATATTTTGTCTTAAATGGGCATAAAAAACAAAAAGTCTTTTAAAAGTCCAAAATGGCCTTCAGTGTATAACCTTAGAGTATAATTTTCCCTCTGGTCTCTTAATTAAATAAAATAAAATAAAATAAAGTTAAATTAAATTAAATTAAATTTGGTTTAGTTTAGCTTAGTTTAATTTAATTTATTTTAATTTAAATTTATTTTATTATTTTATTTTATTCATCTTCATTTCGGCGTAGTCCCTTTATTAATCAGGGGTCGCACAGCTTAAATGAACCATTAACATATCCAGCACGTTTAATGCTGCAGATGCTCTTTTAGCCACAACCCAACGCTGAGAAACACCCATACACTGTCTTTCACACAACACTCCAAATATAACTCATTGGATGAACTCAGTTTAATTTCGGGCAGGTTTTCCATCCAATAAATTTGTTTAGCACTAACTAAAAAAGAAAAAAACTATTTCCTCAATAAATGCAATTGAGTTGGTCCAACATGATTTTATATATATAAAAAAGTATACATATATATATATATATATATATATATATATATATTTTTTTTTTTAACTTAAACTCAAAGGTCTGATATTATCATGTATGTGTATTATGTTTTTTATACATTTCAAAGTCTCTTAGTTCCATTTAAAGTTATCCTAAACGAACCAAAAGAGACATATTTAAGCATACTTCATGAGTTATATATACTGATGATTGAGACTGATCTCAGAACTAATTATTTTTAATTATTAATTTAGGACAGTTCACAGAGCAAAGCAACAAACTGCTTTTTTTCAAAGCATTACATGAAACTCTTCTAAATCTTCAAACTAAAGTGAAAATTAATCTCTAAAAAGTCATACTATTAACTTTAAAAACCTAAGATTAATTTTATTGTCAACATTTCCCTCTCTTAATACAATCCCATGCAAAGCATGCTGGGGACTACAAATCCCCTAACCAGGTAGTAAATCCAACACTATTCCTTCATTTTGTCCCAACATAAAACACTTAAGCCTACTAATAGTTTAAGTGGACTAAACATAAAGCAAATAATTTGGCCAAAGAAATTAAAAGAATTATGTTGTTTCAGCTCATTTTAAACCGGTAGTTTGAACAAGCAGCAGTAATTTATTTTGAAGTGTACACTATGGCCATTTTAGCTATTCAATTCACCTATAGCGCATGTTTTCGGACTTTGGGGGAAACCGGAGCACCCATGCGAACACGGGGAGAACATCCAAACTGCACACAGAAATGCCAACTGACCCAGCCGGGGTTCAAACCATGAACCTTCTCCCTGTGAGGCGATCGTGCTACCCACTGCGCCATCGTGACACACCTTTATTAAGTTTATATGTTTTAATTTAGTTTTTTCTTTCTCTCTCCTTTAAAATCTATTATGCTGATTGTAGCAACATCTTCGTTTTTTTCTAATTTTCTAAGTTCTAATCTGTGGTAAACTGTTTTTACAACCAATAATAATGAAAAATTCAAGTCGTTCAATGGATGTGTAGCCTATATATGCCATAGACATTTTAATAGACAGTTTAATAGTTGATAGATAATTTATTTTATTATAATACCTATGGCCCATGCCATGATGTATGCTTTATGACTTCATATCGTATATATTTTTAAATTGTTGGGAGATTGTTGCAAATTTTCATCGTCATTTCTCCCTACAAGCTTTTAGTTTAATCCCATTCATTCATTCATTCATTCATTTTCTTTTTGGCGTAGGCCCTTTATTAATCTGGGGTTGGCACAGCAGAATAAACCACCAACATATCACTGGGAAACATCCATATTCCTTACACACTCATTCACACATAGACTACGGCCAATTTAGCTTATTCAGTTCACCTGTACCGCATGTCTTTAGACTGGTGGGGGAAACCAGAGCAACCGGACAAAACCCACACGTACACGGGGAGAACATGCAAACTCCACAAAGAAATGCCAACTGACCCAGCCGAGGTTTGAACCAGCAACCTTCTTCCTGTGAGGCGATCGTGCTAACCACTGAGCCACCGTATTGCCATAATAAATTAATTATTATCATAATAATAAATTCAATTACAGTGCACGTCCATCATAAGTGTCACTTAAGGGAAATAACCACAACAAAACACAAATTTAAACCATTAGTGATATGCTACAGACCAAGAAACTGAGTAAACCAAATAAAAATTTATTAGTAAATATGAACAAAATACATAATTTTAATAAATGTACATTAAAAATAGAGTTTGAATTAATTTTGAAATGTACATGATTACTCTGTCAAAGCAGCTCTGCATATCTGAGGTATGTATAAATTTATTCATATATATATATATATACTCTAAATATACTTTTGTGCTTAAAAATCTAGATGATATTTACACAATTTCAGCCTTTCAGCTTTTTCTGCATGTGCTCTTGTGTAGCTGTGTTTAAAGCAGCTTTAAATTACGCATATGAACATGAAGTGATTTGAACCGTCAAAGTACAGTATTGATCTCCAGTGAAACCGGCCACTGGCTCTGAGTCTGGACACAAGGGGACAATATGACTGATGTTGAGTTTCTGCGTCCAAATGCTCTTTCACAAGCCAAAAGCGAACAACCAATGGTCCAAATATATGCTCAGTGCTCACAGTATGCTGTAATGCTACAGAAAAATCATGATTTGTAAAATCTATTTTTGTCTTTTATGAATCATTCAAATATTGGTGTTACAATGTCCACAGACTGTAGTGAACACCACGGTTTTGTAAAAGATAGACATGAATGTGTGAAATGACTAAACAGTGGTCATAATCGGTTTTCTCTGTTCACATGAGAACTGGAAACAATCTGAAGTTCACAAGTGGTGAGTGGGGCAGTCCGGCTCTCTGTGTCTCTTAGACATCAGTAGTGTTTGCCCAGCTGGGGAACGTGTCTAAACTGAAGATGGCTCTGCCCCAGCTGTTAATGGCTAAGGTGATGGAGAGGATGCCGATGATGTTCATGACGATCCCAGTCTTGGCCTGTTGATGAAAATCAATAATTGGATAAATTAATTTTCAAAAGTAATAAAGTGCTTACTGTATATATTAAAGGAGTGGTCCAATGCGATATTATATTTTAAACTTTAGATGATGTGTAATGTAGCTGTGTGAACATAAACATTATCTCTGAATGCAAGACGCTGAAAGTTCAATGCAAAGGGAGACTTTGGGATTTAGCTAAGAGTTAGCTTAGCAAAGCCTACAGCGAACAAATTTGGGGACTACACAAACATACTTTCAGGGTAATGAGATCATAAACACTTCAGGTTACGTGCATTCACCATGTTCATGCACTCTGCACAGCAAAGGGGCATAGCCAGATGGGGTTTAATGTTAAAGCAGAGAAAGTTAAAGTGGCATCCAAACGCTCCTATTTCCACAGAGCTTCTTCTGTTACTATATTTGGGCTTCCAAAGGCCATGACACAAAGAGAGAAGTGCTTACAATTTAATTTGAATTATGTTCCATAGAATTATATTAAACATACAGCTAGCTTTTGGCAAAGGAAAACTTCCAGGGCTCTATTTTGACGATCAATGTGCAAAGTGCAAAGTTAAAAACGCAGGGTGCAAAAGCAATAAGGGCGTGTCAGAATCCACGTTTGCTATTTTATGGATGGAAAAATCCGCTTTGCGCCATGGCGCATGGTCTAAAAGGATTGAGCATATTTTCCTAATGAGTTATAGGTGTGTTTTGAGAATAAACCAATCAGAGTCTCATCTCCCATTCCCTTTAAGAGACAGTTGCGTTGCGCCATATCACATTTGCTATTTACATGACAGACTTTGTAAGTGGAAAACTGAATGCTTCACTAGCAAGAAAACAGTTAAACAGAGCATACAGTGCGAGAATGAAAGATGAGCCTCCCCATTATTTACATTCACTTTCACTCTCGTGGATAGGGAAACTTCTTGTACGCACAGATATCCATTAGCCTACATAATTAATTTTGTTTGTTAAGCGCAAAGATTTGTTTCAAAACTATTTCTAATTTCCAGCAAACGAATAAATGAACAGTAATAACAAAGTGTGTTAAAAAAACTGAGTTATATACGAATACAAATGCCTCATATGGTCTAAAACCTGACAGTTGGACAAATCTAAGCTTTTTAATAAACAAATATAAATATGGATATAATTAATAATACTGGTAATGATAATAACATTTTACAAAAGCAAATTGTTATGAATAAACTGAAAAAGCCTCTCTAGATGAAGAAGGCATGAAGGTATGGTTTTTATATTTATGTAGGCTAGAAAATAATATGTTTTGTAATATTTTAATCCTTTATATTTATATCCTTTATATATCCTTTTTATATCCTATATATATCATTAACGTTTTCATTCTTTTTCATAGGTAAAGATATTTGCGTATTGCTATACATCCTATCTGTTTTAAGCAGTGTGTAAGCGAGGCGAAAAACTAACGCGCTCTGCGCTGGACTTTAGACCGGCTTTGTTTTGGTCTTTTGAACAGTCTATTATAGTTTCCTAAAATAGCAATGCGCCTTAACATGCCTCCTTTTTTACACCAGAACGCCTATGGGCGCAAATATGAGTGCAAATGCATTTGCTATTCAAACAGTATACTGCAAAACATCAAAACAACTATTGCGCGGAGCTGAAACTAGCAAATAACAATTGCGTCCTGCCTTGCCCTGTATTGCGCCGGGGGTATGATAGGGCCCCCAGAATCTCTCTCACTTTAGTGCTGGATTCGATTAAAAGTCCTCCAACCAATGAAGCTGTGGATTGTGAGTCACAAACTGTGTTTTTATTTGTTAAAATGGATCAATTACTTGTACAGTTTCTAGCGTTAATGATATGTTGTAGCAAGGACATAAACAACGATGCAAACAACGGGAAATGCTGTTTGGCACCGCTAACAATTTAGCTACAAATTTAAATTTATCTGTCAAACCACTGTATACGGCCACAATCTTCAGCAGCACGTGCAGTGTCTCTCTATGCAGATGTTTTCCATGCGTTGTACATCTCACAAAACAAACTCACATAAGATATTATTATTTACGCATGCTTATTCTGAATATATGTGAAAGACACTTGTCAGATTTTATTTTAGAGAGCCTTTCAGAGGAACTGGAAAATACGACTGTCATTTTCATGTTAGCTGAGTAGCTGTAAATAATCAAAGTAAGATATATGAAAAAATAATGTGATTTTCTACAAGTGAAGCATGAGCACACATTGCTTTGCATCTTATAAACACAACCAAGTCTTAAAAATACACTGTGGATCACCTCTTTAAAACTGAAAAAATGTTTAATGGTGTCCTTTACATGATGAATAACGAATAAGCGAACAAATGAACGAATTAAACAACTGGAACCTTTTTTATATCACACTTTTCCCTTGCAATTTTGAGTTAATATCTCATAATTCTGACTTTTCATGCAAGTGTATATATGTATTTTTTAATATTTACATTTGTACATGAGCTTTCCATTGATGTATGGTTTGTTAGGATTGGCCAATATTTGGCCGAAAAAAATCTAGAATCTAAGGATGATCAAAATATTGAGAAAACTCTTTAAAATTTTCCAAATTGAGTTCTTAGCAGTGCACATTACAAATCAAAATATTATTTTGATATATTTACAGTAGGAAACATTCTAAATATGTTCATAGAACATTTTCTTTACTTAATACTAATGATTTTGGCATAAAAGAAAATTCTGTAATTTTAACCTATAAAAGGTATTTGCATACATATTTGCAATTCAGAAATAACTTAATGTTTTTTTTTCTTAAATGTATTTTTATTAGGAATATAACAGTGCATGTATAAACATCAATATAAAATATTAAAAAAACATTATTAATATTTATTTTTTTAAATAGTAATTATATTATTTTTTAAAATAATAATAATAATTTCTATTTTTTTAGTTATTTAAAGAGATCATTTAAGTTATTATTATAGTGCTCACTGCTCATAAATTAAAAGACCATAAATAAAACAGTTTGCATGTTGTGTTTAATCACCCCACGCTCCAAAGTTGTTAATAATGGCTTATATTTTTTATGTATTAGTGTTCAACACTCACCATGTCAGAGACTTTGAGGTATCCGTATGAGAAGACGATGGCGTTTGGAGGAGTTGCCACAGGGAGCATGAAGGCAAAAGATGCACTGAGGGTACAGGGCACCATAACATACAGAGGATTCACACCTATAGACTGAGACTGAGACAACAAAACAATGATCTTTTACTCAATCATACTAAACAATATACTTATAATGACACATTATGATTTAAATATGTCAATTTAAAATGTTACAATTAATTATTTTATATACAATTGAGAAGGCATCTATTATCACAACATTTAGTAACACTTTAAAGGGAAATAAGACTATCATAAGACCTTTATAATCATGACGCATAATTTTAGACGTTTATTATATCTGTCATTTTATTTTAATTGCAAAGATGACATTGTTTGAGGTAAAAACTTGACATAACCAAATGCATTACATCCAGCCTTTTTCTTTGTCCTGACAACTTGATATTACCAAGAAAACATAACTTGTCATAAATCAGTCATAAACATGATTGTCACGAACCCATTATAATTGTGTCATGCAATTTATAGCAGCATCATTAATATTTTTCCTGACCTAAATTACAATGGTACAAACTGAATTTGTCATTAAAATGTAATGACACTGTTATTAAAATGACTTAACAGAGTATAAAAAGGGGAAACATGGTGGTTAGCGCTGTCACCTCACAGCAAGAAAGTCGCTGGTTCAAGTCCTGGCTGGACCAGTTGGCATTTCTGTATGGAGTTTGCATGTTCGCCCCATGTTGGCGTGGGTTTCCTCCGGGTGCTCTGGTTTCCCCTACAGTTCAAATACATGCGGTACAGATGAATTGAATAAACTTAATTGGCCGTAGTGTGTGAATGTGAGAATGTATAGGTGTTTCTCATAAAACATTTGTTGGATAAGTTAGCAGTTCATTCCTCTGTGGCAATCCATGATGAATAAATGAGCTAAGCCAAAGGAAATTGAATGAATGAATGAGTATGAGAAATATCTCAAAATTGTCTTATAAACACCCCCTCAAGTAAAGTGTTAGCTATTATTTAATATAAACTAATGTATTTATGAAACAGAAGCTTGCAAAACCGACTATCTGCATAAATTCGAGTGTTTTTGCAGTTCATTTTGGAATTAATCCAGGTGTAACTTCATTATGAACATTCAAAACTCCACAAAATCTTCTCCGTTGCGCAGTGATCTGGCACTGTCCTCAAACCTCAGTTGTGTTCCAGGTAACACAGAAGCAGGAATGAACAACACTAGCACTCATTACAGCGTCTGTGTATCTGCTTTCAGCTACCAATGAATGAGCGAGTAAAGTTAAAAGCCCCCCTCCCCCAATGGCCGCTTTTTCCTCATTCTTCCTCTCTTTTTTTTTTCTCAACAAAACAACAATAGCACATCTCCATATGAGCCACTTCAGCTTTAGCCCTACAAATCCCTCCATTCACAGCAGAGGCTGATTCATGAGAAGAGGGCAGAATGTGCCAACCGCACAGCCAGAGACCCTCCAAGAGATTCATGGAGGAAGAGTCTGTACTTACAAAACTATTATGCAACTTGCTTGTTTGTGTCTCATAAAATATGTGACAGATGAACAAATGCTTTTTCCATTTCCTTTTAAAGAGGGGAAAAAGTTTTTACGTCTAAAAAGCTATTACTAAAGCACATTAAACCATGTTGATGAATGATAATAATGATAATAAATTATAATAATAAACATTTAACACCACATATACTGAATTCATTCATTTTCTTTTGGCTTAATCCCTTATTTATCAGTGATCACCACAGTGGAATGAACCGTCAACAATTCCAGCATATGTTTTACACCCTTAAAGCTGCAACCCAGTACTGTGAAACACCCATACACTCTCACATTCACACACTCATACACTAGGGGAAATTTAGTCTATTCAATACAACTATTGTGCATGTGTTTGGACTCTGGAGGAAACCGGAGCACCATGAGGAAACTCATGCAAACACGAGGAGAAAATACGAACTCCACACAGAAATGCCAACTGGCCCAGCCAGACTCGAACCAGCAATCTTCATGCTGTGAGGTGACAGTGCTAATCACTGAGCCACCATACCCTGTGAATTAATTAATAATAAACAAAAATGTTAAATTCATTTGTCCAATGAATAAACAGTTAGGTCCAAAACTTTAAGCACGCTCTAAAAAATGCTGGGTACCACACAATTTCTTCATGTTGTCCGAAAACAAATCAATTAAGTTTCCTTAATGTTTTTCTTTACAAATGCAAGTGGATTGAACATAAAACAATTAAGCTGTCCCCCTGAAAACTTAAGAATTGTGTTGTTTAAACTTATTTTAAATAAGTAGCTTGGGCAAGCAGCAAATGTAATTATTTGAGTGCAGAATGTTTGTCGAAATTCAAATTCTAACCTAAAAAAAGTTGGTAACACTTTAGAATAACTATCTGTTATAACTAGTTAATAGTCCATTAAAACTGTTAGTTAATGAGTTATAAATGACTTGTTAAATAAAAGTTAGAAGTTTGTTAATTATTTTTAACTGTGCCTTATAGATAGCCAATAAATAGCTTACAAGCTGTTAGTTAACAAGTTATAAATGACTTGTTAACTGTATTTTAATGATTTATAACTATACCTAATAAATCAGTAATAGATCACAAACAAACTGTTAGTAAATTACTTACTAAAGACTTGTTAAGTATCAGTTAATAATTTGTGTACGTTATTGGGACGTTATTCTAAAGTTGCAGCTATTCTTCAGTTATTAACTGTTAGTAAATGAGGAATAGTTGCAACTTTAGAATAACGTCCCAATAACACACATAAGCCAATAACTAACACTTAATTAATATATTAACTCAAACTCAGATCAGTTGTTCATAGTTTCTTTACCATCTAATAACACCAGTGAAACTTTGTAGAGCTTTGTAGAAAAAAAAAAAAGTGCCCAAACCTCATAGGTTTGTATTCTGTTGTATACTGCTGTTCTGCCATGTTATGACTCACAATGTTTAACAATTCATCTGTGGAGTTTCTTTGGTAAAATACAGCACACAAAAGCTTATGAGTGGAACAAGGTTAAGGTACAAAAATGTTATACTTTAAATATCACATCAAATTTCTGTAGCTTGAACTTGTTCCATCCATTTGCTGTTCCACAAAGTTTCACCGGTATTAGTAGACGGTTAACAAACTATGAACAACTGATCTGTAAAGTGTGAGTTAACATATTAGTTAAGTGTTAATTATTAGCTTAATTATGTTATTGGGACGTTATTCTAAAGTTGCAACTATTCCTCATTTACTAAGTTAATAACTGAAGAATAGCTGCAACTTTAGAATAACGTCCCAATAACGTATATAAATTATTAACTGATACTTAACAAGTCTTTAGTAAGTAATTTACTAACAGCTTGTTCATGATCTATTACTAATTTATTAGTTAAATTTATAAATCCTTAAAATACAGTTAACAAGTCATTTATAACTTGTTAACTAACAGATTATAAGTTATCTGTTGGCTATCTATAAGGAACAGTTATAAATAATTAACAAACTTTTAACTTTCATTTAACAAGTCATTTATAACCCATTAACTAACTATTAATGGACTATTAACTAGTTATAATTGATAGTTATTCTAAATGTTACCAAAAAGCTAAATTAAACAGTTAAAAATATACAACATGATACAAATAAATAATCATATACTGTAGGGACACCAGTGTCTGACGGTTTGATTTCTGTACAATTTATTAAAATGCTTGATTTGTTAAAATGATCATGCCATGTCGTCACCTTGGAATAATAAGGTTCTATTTGCGTTCTGAATGATTTCGTGATGTTGAGCTTCAAAGTGTTTGCATTCCATAGTAAACAATATGTGTGTAACATTTGTTTATTTAAATTAAAAGTCTTAAAATGTAAACAACTTATAAAAAAACATCCCATAATATAAATAAGTTGTCATTTATTAAGAATATATCAATAACTCAATTTTGACAGATTTGTCAGATAGAACCTTATAATTCTAAGGTGATGATGTGTCAGAGATTTACATACCATAGATGCCAGTATAGGCAGAAATAATGTAGCTGTGGCCACATTACTGGTGCATTCAGTGAAGGTTGCGATCATTAAACATATGACAATAGCTATTGCCCATGGAGGAATGCTTTGAAGAGGAGACATCTGATCTCCAAGCCACTTGGACAATCCTGAGATCTGAAAACGGAGAATAAAAAAAGAACTGCAAAGCTGACCTTTGGAGTAGTATTTATTAAAGAGCTGCAGTTTATCCTAAGCATTTTTTCTTGTGTGCTTGCTTTTAGGTATCATGTGTTCACTGTTTAGCAAATCTCTATGGCAATTTGACCAAAAACTATCCCATAATATATATATATATATATATATATATATATATATATATATATATATATATATATATATATATATATATATATATATATATATATTTAATTTTTGATAGGTTTACAATAAATAGCCTACTTTATTAGGTATAAGGTCAAAAGAAAATCAGCACACTTCCACTTAAGCTCTCAACTTTTTTTAACGTGAAAACATTTTGACCTACATGGTCTTCATCAGGTTAACCTAAGACCATGTAAGTCGAACATTGCCACATTAAAAGTTTTTGAGAGCTAAAGGGGCAGTGTGCTAATTTCCTTTTGACCTTTTGCCACTGTATTTGTTTTTGATCGAGCACCTGCCTTTGAGAATCCTAGGATGTGCTTACATTTCTGTTACTTGGTCACTTTATTAGGTATACCTGTTCAACTCAACTGCTTGTTAAAGACACACTCATTTTACAAGTCTTCTAGAGTTTCGAATAGGAATCTCAGGGTTAGCTTAGCTTAAATAGTTCCTAGCTATTGACATACAAAATAGCAACTTTTCATTCTCCGTAGTTTTTAGTACATGATGTAACAACAAAAGAGTCAAGCTATAAATAAATAAATATAAAAAAAGTTTAAAAATATTTGTTATTTTTTGAGTAAGAGGCTAATGGTCTTATTCGATTCAATGATTTATGCTAAGCTAAGCTAAAAGATCTCCTGTCAGATTTGCTAAATATATTAAAATATGGTAAAACTTAACTGTTTAGCTCTAGGGGAGTTGTAAAATTAGCATTTTTTCTGGAAAAGTAGAGTGTTCTTAATGTCATTTAATTTCAAAATCAAACCAAGAATCAGAATGAGGTAAAATGTATATATATATATATATATATATATATATATATATATATATATATATATATATATATATATATATATATATATATATATATATATATTTAAGTGACTTTAAACATGACATGCTCGTTGGTGTCAATAGGTATGATATGAGTATTTCAGAAACTGCTGATCTACTGGTATTTTCACACATAATCTCTAGGGTTTACAAAGAATTATCTGAAAAAGAGAAAATATCCTGTGAGCAGCATTTCTGTGTGTGAAAATGCTTTGTTGATGCCAGAGGTCAGAAGAGAATGACCAGACCAGTTCAGCTGATAAAAAGACAACAGTGACTCAGAAAACCTTGTTAGTTACAACATCAGCAGTAGAGAATTTCTGAACACACAACAACATGTAAGACCTTGAATCAGATGAACTACAGAAGAAGAAGAAGAAAAAAAAAAAAGAGGACGCTCTTTACACTCCTGACAGCTAAGAACAGCAAACTTCATTCAAACCGCTTCAACCAAACTGGAAGAACGTCAGAAAAAGTTCACTAAACTCAAACAGTCACCAGAACTTAATCCACACTTGTATATGGTTAATTAAGATTTTTTATTGGTGTAATGAATTTTAAACTGTAAAAATTGATTGCTTGTTATATGAACTTAAACCCACCGCTACCCCTCAACCCAACACTCACGGGAAACTTGACTAAATTTGAATGTTAAATGTCCCTGTGAAGTATGATTTTTAAGCATTCTGAAATAGAGGATGCAAGGCATGCCTGCAAAAACACTTTAATAACGTACAACTAGGTTGTTCACACTTTTAAATGTATCTTTAATGGGGAATTCCCATAGATGTAATGATTTTTATACTGTGCAAACTGTACATTCTATTGCCCTACTACAACCCTACCCCCAAACCCAAGCTTCACAGAAAGCAATCAGCATTTTTACATTTTCAAAATACTGGATTCTGCATCTTCTATGAGTTGTTTTCCTCATGGGGACCAAACATATCCAAACATCAAAATTGACTGATTTAGCTGAACTATTAAAAATGTGATGACAAAAAGCCAAGGCAACAAACATTTTTAAGTTGCTTGACCTGATTTTGATAAGTTAAACAGCTTTTTATTATTATTTATAAAAAAGTTTAGCTTAATTTTTTTGTCGGTTTGGTTGATATTAGTTGAAATGACTAAAAAAGTTCATTTGGTTTAACTAAAAAAAATAAATTTACAGTAAATAACAAGTACAGTACAGTAAATTAAAATTTTTTTACAGTGTATGCTTGGGAAATTTTAGTAACCACATACCTATGTCATTATACAAATTTGTGTCTTCGTAAACCACATAAACAAGTTGAACACATGTTGAAAAGCACTGTTTGTACCTCACTGCCCTTAGCCAGGGCAAAGCCTCCTCCCAGCAGCAGTATAATACTCCATGGCATCTTCTTCTGTGTCACTTTCCATGTCAGCAAAGCTGGAGTCGGGCCACTTTCTTGCTGGGGCACTGATACAGACCACAGTCAAACGTATGATCATTCTTCGTTTATCAAGAATAAATCAAAACAAAACAAATAAAGATAACAATGAAATAGGGCGAAGCAGTGGCACAGTAGGTAGTGCTGTCGCCTCACAGCAAGAAGGTCGCTGGTTTTAACCTGGGCTCAGTTGGAGTTTCTGTGTGGAGTTTGCATGTTCTCCCTGTGTTCGTGTGGGTTTTCTCCGGGTGCTCCGGTTTCCCCCACAGTCCAAAGACATGCGGTACAGGTGAATTGGGTATGCTAAATTGCCTGTAGTGTATGAGTGTGTGTGGATGTTTCCCAGAGATGGGTTGCGGCTGGAAGGGTATCGGCTGCGTAAAAACATGCTGGATAAGTTGGCGGTTCATTCCGCTGTGGCAAACCCTGATTAATAAAGGGACTAAGCCGACAAAAAAATGAATGAATGAATAACAATGAAATAACTTCAAAACTTAAAATTAAAAACTATTGTTAATTAATAAATAAACAATAAATAAATAAATAAATAAATAAATAAATAAATAAATAAATAAACATTGTTAAATAACTTAAGCAAATGCAACTTAACTCCATACCCAAATTTTACTTTTAAAGGATTATTCACTGAAAATGGAATTTTCCTCACCATTAATCAAACTAAAGTGGTACAAAGTTTTTATCAATCTCTCCTTCTTGTTGAACCTAAAACAAGATATTCTGAAGAATGTTTGAAAAAGGGTGCCATTGATATCTGTAATAAGATTAAAGAACATTCTTCATTATATCTTCCTTTGTGTTTAGCAGACAAAAAGAAACTCAACCAGGCTTGAAACAAGTGGAAAACGAGTAAATGATGGCAGAATTGTACTTTTTGCTTGAACTATCCCTTTACGAAATATCTGTTCAAAAATCATTTATAAAGAGTAAACAAAAGCTAATGCTAATCTTTGTGCTTGCGCGCAGATTTCCCCTGCTTGTGCTCAACTTCTTGCACGCCCCCTCAAATATTAGCCGCTTCAAGAGCGCGCAGATCTTCTTGTGCGCCCTCAAACAAACGCTGCTGGGTGCGATTTAGTGCGTTTATGTAACGAGTATGTCTCCAGCATTTATTAGATTTGCTAGGAATATTTATGAATGTCTCCAATAGTCCTACAGAGTAGCATTAATGCGTTCTGAAGTAAAGTGAAACGGCTATACGTTGTGTTTGCTGGCCTCACGCACCTGTCAGATTGTCAGTCAGTCAGTCAGCACGTCACCTTAAAGGGTAAACAAATGACACACAGCACTACTACGGTTACAGAAAAGTTTGCGCTATTATAAATCACTTACCCTTTAATATGTTTTGGTGCGATTATTACCCGCTATTAAAAAAAAAAAAAGATGTTTTGAATGAGAAGCTGTAATGTAGCCATGGCGGGATGAATTTTGGCGTGGCGCCCCACCATGGAAGAATGAATGTAGCGGAAACCATGCATTGATTCTAGATGCTTTGTTGTCTTACTTTACTATCTTTATTTCTATAGGGCTTTTACAATGTAGATTGTGTCAAAGCAGCTTACTGGGGTTTTTGATGTGGTTGGCCATGACATTCCGCTTGTATGACTCGAGGACCAGGTTGGCATTCATTCATTTATTTAATTAATTTTCTTGTTGGCTTAGTCCCTTTATTAATCCGTGGTCGCCACAGTGGAGTGAACCGCCAACTTTTCCAGCAAGATTTTATGCAGCGGATGCCCTTCCATCCGCACACACATTCACACACTCTTACACTACGGACAATTTAGCCTACCCAACTCACCTGTACTGCATGTCTTTGACCTGCGGGGGAAACCGGAGCACCCGGAGGAAACCCACGCAGGGAGAACATGCAAATTCCACACAGAAACGCCAACTGAGCCGAGGCTCGAACCAGCGACCTTCTTGCTGTGAGGCGACAGCACTACAGTACCTACTGCGCCACTGCTTCGCCCTCCAGGTTGGCATTCAGGGATTCTTATTTTAAAAAATAGGACCTTTTCAGAGTGTCTATAGAGGGTTCTTATTGTGGTTTTTGATATGGTCAACCATGGCATTCTCAGTGCATGACTCAAGGACCAGGTTGGCATTTAAGGCTTCTTATTAAAATAAATAAATAAATAAAACCTTTTCAGTTTGTCTAGAAGATTTTTCTTTCACTTTTGCTCCTCTTGTATGTGGGGTTCCCCAGGGTTCTATTTTGGGTCCAATTTTGTTTCCCATTTAAAAACTTACCTTGGGTTTTATTTTTGAGACATTTAGTGTGCATAATGCACATTTCTTAAATCTATTTACCACTGAATCGTCTTGACCTTGAGTTCTGAGGTAAGGTATTAGTCAGCAAATAATTTTTTTTTCAACTGAATGAGGATAAGACAGAAGTCATGTTGTTTGGCAACCAGGTGTGCTAGGGGTCTATGTGACTATGTGTCTGGGGAAGCTTCCTATAATAATAATAATAATAATAATAATAATAATAATAATAATTATAATTATAATAATAATGATAATAATAATAATAATAATATTAATGTGAAAAACTTTGGTGTCATCTTTGACTCTAACCTTAAATTTGACCATCAGACAGTGATGTCGTTAAGAATATCTTTTCACCTTAGGTCAATACCTAAAGAAGAAGGTTGATTATGCTTTTGTGTCATCTTGATTGGACTACTGTAATGTGTTGAATGTGGGTATGAGTCAGGCCTCTCTCTCCCATCTGCAACTTGTTCAGAACTCTACTGTGGAACCTTTAACAGGAACTAAGAAGCGAGAGCATACTGCTTTGGTGCTAATTAATGTGTACTGGTTACCCATACAATACAAACTTCATCAAAAGGTGTTGTGTGTTTTAAGGCTCTTCATGACCTATAGTGCTTATGTTGTTGATTTGATTAGTTATTGTAATGCCGAGTTCAGACTGCATGATTTTCAAAGTAGTCGTGTCACAGATGTTTTCACACTGCTTGACTATCTGAGCTAGCATTTCGTCGCTGCTTTGTTTACACTGCAAGATGGATCGGCGACAGGGGGTTTCACATTGCATGACTTTACTATGGGAAGAATCGCCGACAACTTCGTCCAAACTACATCTCACAGCCAAAAACACGCCGTATATCTTTTGTTATTAACTACATAATGAGAAAGAAGCCTTTAATGGGGTTGAAAATGTGCATGTTTGCTCACCTGGGTTTAAAGGGAATTAGCCATTTCTCCTCAACTTAAGTTGATAATAAACTAATTTCTTTCTGTATGAAATATCAAACAGACACGGTTGCTCCTGAGTCCTGTCAAACCTCCACTAGTTTTTCCTCCATTTCGTGGGTCCAAATAAACCGAAAATGAGCGCTTTTAACTTCTCCCCCAGCCTCCCGCTGGCCTGCAGCAGGTATACACACACGCACACGCAAGTGAATGCCGCTCTCTCATTGGCTGTAGGCGATCGCTGATGTTATTTTCAGTCAAAACTCAATTCACACGGTATGATTTGAATCGCCGACAGCTCCAGATATTTAGCACGCCAAATATCTCACAGGCATCGGCAACTCATCGACGATTCTCTCAGATCGCGTCTTTGATAGTTCATACTGTGTAATTGTCACTCACGTGCACGAGCAGCGATTTGCCTGTGATTTCAGGCATTTGTCTGCGATTTCTCAAAACCTGTCGGCGAGCCAAAATCAGGGCTAAAATCACGCAGTCTGAACTAGGCATAAGCCTAGTAGATTCCTTCTAATGTTCGAATGATCAGTCGCTCCTTGCGTTGTTGCCTGAAATGTAAAAGGATCTGAAATTACCTTATCTGTTCAGTGTGCTTTAATAAGTCATTTGTTTTTTGTTGCTTTTCAACATGTGCAAGTATAGTCTCTGTCATCTGTTTTTTTTCTGTTTTCTTCAATTTATTGTTTTCTTTTTTTTTTTCTACAGCACTTTGGGGTTGAAAATGCTTTATAAATAAACTGTGTTTAGTTGAGTCAAGTAAGAAAAGGAAACAGTTAAAAGCATGATGTACTCTTTCTGTAATGGGATGTTAGCAAGGCAGGTGTCTGACTGACCTGTGTCGAAACTCTCTGTTCTCCAGAAGCACAATCGTGGTGGTTTAGAGGGAAAGACAAAGAGCAGCGCAGCCACAAACACTGCAACCGTGGCATCTGTCACAAACCTGCACATAAATCCAAAATGGAAATGGTTAAAGGAAACAACAATTAGTTCATGTTTACTTGAGGTGTTCATAAAACAGATGCATTGCTGTTACTTTATATGTTATGACACAGAGAAGATACAGTTTGTATAGTCTGATATGGACTCTCTGGTAAAGTTAAAGATTTTTGCTTTTTGTTCTGTTCCTTTTTAGTTTAGACCTTTCACCTAGAGAGAATTGCAGTGTTTTTAGTTTTAAATCCTCAATCTCTTTTCTTGTGACTGTGATCAGGAAATGTACACAAATGCTGTTTGCACGTGGGGAAACTCCATTCACATTTTTTGCTGGACATTTGACCTACAAATAAAGCAACATGCCATAGCTGATAACAGGAGAACACGCTGTTTGTGTTAAGCAAAGATTCAGTCACTTTTCCAGTGTTCAGGTCATATTCCAGTTATTAATGTTTTCTCTTCGTTCAAAGTGAGATTTTAATTAACAAAAATAATTTAATATTAATTAAAACTCCACAAAAAAAGGTACACAGTGGTACAAATAATGCTTCTTAAGGAACAGTTTACATCTGTTAAAGTTGTACCTTATTTAGTGCAGAAAAGACCTCTTATGATACTGTTCTGTACCTTTTATGGTACAATTGAAAAGAAGGTATGTAACTGTTCTCATGTAAAAGGTACAAAAGTGTTGGACAGCTCCTTTGTCACAATATCTATGAAAATAAATATTACTGGAAAGGCAAAATGATTTTACAAATAATTTCCATACTAAAACATCATTTAAAAGCATGTTGGAAGGAAATTATAAACATTAATTATTAAATTATGTAATACAAAACAACAGATAAAACAAAACTATCGTTATTTCATTATTGATATCCACACCTTTTGGTGTTTGCTTTCCACTACACATATAAGCTGGCAAAAGTTCTGCATATGCAAAGTGTTCATGCTGACATTTTAGTATTGTAAAAGTAATCAAACACTGTGCATATCTGGTTACAATACTTTTGCATAATTCTATTTCTATTTTAAAATTAAGTAAATTAAATGAACTTTTAGGTGACTACAAAGGTGTTGTGTGAAAATTGGAGGAAATAAATGTTTAATATTGTACATGGGAGAATGTATTTCTGTAATGTTTTTGTGAAAAGTGTTAGATCTTTTGATTGATGTTAAAGTATGTTTTATCCATTATTGTCAATGGAAAAAAGAAATTTGTTTTTAAATGTATCTGATGTTTTATACTAACTAAAAATTAATCAACACATTTTGAATATAGCAAAAGGTCTTTAAATAGTTCTTGAAGGAACACATTTGACACTGTTAAGGTACAAAGTGTCTTGTCACTGTGGGGGTACCCTCATGGATTAGATTTGTATCTTTGATAAAGGTACAATATTGTATCTGCATGCTTTAAAAACCAAAGGTACATTTTGGTTTCCCATGGTAGAAATCATGTCCTTAAAGGTACAAACTGCAATGGTAAAAATTAGTTTCTTTGTCTTAAGGTACAATTCTGTTCCATAAAAAGGTCCTGCCTCAGTAAAAAGGGTTTGTACCATTTTGTCTGAGAGTGCACCTTAACCCAAACCCTAACAAACAGGGTTAGTGTTTATTGATTTACAGCTCTTGCTTGCTATTCATATTAGTTTGTTTTATTAAATATTATTTACAAATACATTATTAAATTCAAAGGTTGATTTTTTTAATTTAAAATAAAAAGCTTTATATAATGTGTTTTATCTTGTTAAGTAATGATACCTTGTTGTGAAGTGTTGCTGAGATCGTAATGGCAAACATTTTTTTTTAATTTATGGTAAAAAAAAAAAATAATAAAAATAAATAAATAAATACTATTAAAAATTATGTTTAAATACTCTGACATTTATAGTTTTTGAAATTGAAAAATTAGTCTAATTATAGTTTACAGTGAGGAAAAAACTTTCCAAAGCTCACTGTGTGACATGTCAAATGTTTTGTTAATATTTATGTAAAATAGCTTTTGTTTTTTGCCTGATTTTAAATAGATCTCTGTTACCATGATGGTGCTCAACCTCTAGATTTTAGCATTGACCTCATTTATCCATCCATTCATCCATCCATCCATCCATCTTTTCATTCACTTTAATTTTTTTTATTTGCTTTTGGCTAATCACACTGACAAAAATGGCAGGAATAATTTCAATTTTAGATCTGCTAATAAAATGTAGGATCAAAAGTAAATTTCTTTAAGTAAAAAAGATTAAATTGCATTTATTCAACTAATGTATGCTTTATTTACAGTTGTTAGTATTTTAAGTGTATAATTCAACGTACAAATTATTAATTCTTTTTTAAAATTCTGCATACTGTTATGGATGGTTCCATTTTATGGTGTTCTAAATTACTTTTTTAGCATCTTATTATTAACTTCTTTAAGAATTAGTGTTTCATCATCTGTCAGATTGTAAGAATGGCCAACAAAGAATTAGCAAACCTTTCCTCAACAAGCACCAACAAACCATCTTTGATATCCACATTACAACACCAACAGTAGAAACAATAATGAAGCTTGCCTTACATCATTGCAGTAAACACTACTAAAAGAGTCTCTGCATCTTACTAATGTGAGTGTTTTCATTCTTACTCTTTGTCAGCATTGAAGAAGCGTGTCGCCCAGCCGTCCACGAAGCCTGGATCACGAGTGAACCAAAGCACCACCAGGAGGATGAAGAGGGCAAGGACACTCAGCTCCCCAAAGGTCATAGGGCCGAGACTGCGGTGCTCCTCTTTAATCACATTATAGGCCGCGATCTCCTTCTCCGTCTTCACCGTCCCACAGCCCCATGTCTTTTTAAAGCTGTTAAATCACATAATGGCATAAGCATAATACACTAGAAGTCAAAAGTGTTTGCGAGCATTATGCTCAAATGTTTGCTGCCTGTTCAAAATATTTAAAATTAGTGGAAACAACACAATTCTTGAGATTTTTTGGGACAACTTATTTGTTTTCAATTCACTTTAGTTTGTAAAAACATTACATTTGAGCATTAATGAATTTTGTGGACCACTGCATGTTTTACAAGATGCCTACTGCTCACCAAGCTGCATTTCTTTGCTCAAAAAACAGTAAAAATAGGACGTTTGTAAAGAAACAATAAAAAACTACAAATAAAATACAAGATAAAATGTGAAAAATGTTTTTAATTATATTTATTCTATTAAAAAAATCCTTCATTTATAGTTTAAAGCAAAGCATTTTTAAATAGTTTTTTTTATTTAATAAAAAAAAACTTTTTAATTGGCGGTTCATTCCACTGTGGCAACCCCTGATAAATCAAGGACCAAGCCTTAGAATATTGAAAGAGTGAGTGAGAATTAAACAGTTTCATACGTTTTTTTTTTCATGTTTAAATGTTTGATCAAAATTTCAGTAAAAACTGTAACATTTAAAAATTTTAAAATAATTAAGTGACACTTAAGACTAGAGTAATGAGTGCGTTTATATCAGACAAATACATTAGTTTTGAGACTACATTCAATATGTAAACGTCTATTTCAGATTGTAATACATTTGAAGAAATGCAAAAACCTCTAAATGTCATCTGAAATATCCTCCTTAAATGAGTATTTCTCTTAGTCTCCTATGTTTATGTTCAGTTATTTACCTTTAAAGGCAATGAAAAGAACCTAGTTGTCACTATAAACATAAAATTACTAAGTCCACACACAGGAGAAAGAGAAAAATGTTAATTTTAGAAGAAAATATTAAATGGCATATAGAGGTTTTTGCATCTAAACTCTTCAAATGTATTACAATCTGAAATAGATGTTTACATATTGAATGTAGTCTCAAAATATATTTATTTGTCTGATATTAACAGAATCATTACGTCAGTCTTAAGTGTCACTTAATTAGTCAGAAAAAAAAACATTTATTACTGTTTATTTATCATCATTTATTAATATTATCAATGCTGAAAACTGTTAAGCTGTTCATGGAATCTCTGATACTGCACCATTGAAAAGTTCAAATAAATAAGATTTATTTATCAAGGACATACTAAATTGTTCAAGAGTTAAAATATAAACATTTTGATGCATTATGTACACTCTCAGAGAAAAAAAAAGGTACACAGTGGTTCAAATAATGTTCCTTGAGAAACTGAGAAATTTGACCTTATATGATACAGATAAGACCTCGTATGATACTGTTCTGTGCCTTTTCTGGTACAACTGAAATGAAGATACACAATTGTTCTCAAATAAAAGGTACAAAAGTGTTGGACAACTCCTTTATTACAATATCTATGAAAATAAATATTACTGGAAAGGCAAAATGATTTTATAAACACAGTTGAAGTCAGAATTATTAGCCCCCTTCAATTTTTTTCTTCTTTTTTAAATATTTTCCAAATGATGTTTAACAGAGCAAGGAAACTTTCACAATATGTCTGATAATATTTTTTCTTCTGGAGGAAGTCTTATTTGTTTTAAATTTTGTATGAACCATTTTAGGGACAAAACTGTTAGCCCCTTTAAGCTATATTTTCTTTTCGATAATCTACAGAACAAACCACTGTTATGCAATAACTTGCCTAAATTCCCCTAACCTGCCTAGTTAACCTAAACCTAGTTAAGCCTTTAAATGTCACTTTAAGCTGTATAGAAGTGTCTTGAAAATCATCTAGTCAAATATTATTTACAGTCATCATGGTAAAGATAAAATAAATCAGTTATTAGAAATTAGTTATTAAAATTATTATGTTTAGAAATGTGTTGAAAAAATCGTCTCTTCAGTAAACATAAATTGGGGAAAAAATAAACAAGCAGTCTAATAATTTAAGGGGGCTCATAATTCTGACTTCAACTGTAATTTCCATATTAATACAAGAATCATCATTTAAATATGTTTAAAGCAGCTTATAAACATTCCTTTTTAAGTTATATAATACAATATTACTAAACAACTGGTAAAACATAAAACTATAGGTATTGTAAACTAAACATTTAAGGCATTTTAAATAAATTTTTGGTAAGCATTTTTGACACTTAAGGTACAAAGTTTCTTGTCACTGTGGAAGTAGCTTCATGGATTAGATTTGTACCATTGATAAAGGTACAATACTCTATCTGCAGGTTTTAAATACCAAAGGTACATTTTGGTTTCCCATGGTAAAAATCATGTCCTATATAAACTGGTACCAATTTCTGTTTAACAGAGAGAAGATTATTTCAACACATTTCTAAACATAATAGTTTTAATAATTCATCTCTAATAAATTGTTAATTATATTTTTGCCATGATGACAGTTAATAATATTTTATTAGATATTTTTCAAGAAACCTTTATACAACTTAACAGGTAAAGGTTTAACTAGGTTAATTAGGCAGGTTAGGGTTATTTTGGCAAGTTATTGTATAACAACGGTTTGTTCTGTAGACTAATGAAAAAAATAGCTTAAAGGGGCTAATAATTTTGACCTTAAAATGGTGTTTAAAAAATTAAAAACTGCTTTTATCCTAGCTGAAATAAAACAAACATGACTTTTTCTTGAAGAAAAATATTATCAGACATGCTGAACATAATTTGGGAAATATATATATATATATATATATATAGTGGAAAATAGTTTTCACCAAAATATGAAGCAGGAAAAATATATATTTAACTGATAATCATAAATATATAACTGATAATTATAAATATAAGGATCATTAGTAACACTGTAAAATAAATTAGTTGAGTGAGTAAACCTGTTGGCTTAAAATGATTAAGTAATTGAACTATGCGCTTAATTAAAAAATAATATATAAAAATTATAAAATTAATTTAAGGCAACTAAACAGTTCCAAGTTACATGTTTACTCACCTGATTAAAGTAAAGTCAACTAGTCGCTTTAAAGGCAACAGGTTTACTAGGTTTTTTAAGTAACTAATCGCTTTTTAGTGATGGATTGAGTACCAATAGTAATTTATCATAACAGCAAATCAGTTTATTATAATAAAGAATCTAAAGAATCTTGTAACACTAAAGACTGTGAGTATTGATATCGAAAATTCAGCTTGTTTCAATTAAATGTTAAACTCTATTCACTAAAAAAAACTTTTATTTAATTCGTAATAATGTTAATTATTATTTGTCTATTTATTAATTCATTTATTTTTTACTGTATTTAGGATCAAACAAATGCCCTGGAGAGCAGAAAAGGCTTTATTTAAAAGCATTTTAAAATCTTACTGATCCCATTTTCATTTTTCATTTTCATACCAGAAATGATCATGCATATGAGGCTGTTGAGAGTGAATGAATGCAAGCTCACTTTATTCCCAGAAACACGATCTGTAGCCACAGCCAGGCCAGCGTGAGCATGATGATCATGTTTGGAAAGGCAAATCCAAACCATGACGCAAAGTTAATGATGTCAGGGTTGTCCGGGAACAGTCTGTAGGACAAGCAAATGTTGATTTAAAATGCTAATAGTTGATAAGCACAAGGTTGGACTGTAATATGGTGTCGTTAAGATAAAAAAACTGCAAGGTACCTACTGGCTCATCTGTCCCATAAGAACGAGGTTTGGTCCAGTGCCTGTGAGTGTGGCTGTGCCGCCGATGCTGGCGGCATAACACACGCACAGGGTCAGGCCTTTAGACATCTTCAGCCTTTCCTCTGCTTCTCGTGAATGTTCTTCAGGGTCTGACTCCATTGAGAAGTTGTCGCCATTCAGTACCACTGTGTACAATATAATATACATACTCTAGGTTGTTTTAGGCTCTATTAATAAAAAAACAAATCAAATCATTTTCACTGACTGAAAGAAAAATAAAGGAAAATAAAAAATAAATAAAATAGGCACAATTTATTTCAAGTTTTTCATTTTAGTTGGTTGGCACATGGATCTATTTGTTTTTATTTTAATTTTAAAGCTTTACAACTCTTCTGCGTAACAAATGCAAGTGTTATTAGACAGGAATTACACTGGAACAGGTCTGCTCAACTCTTTTCCTGGGGATCTACCTTCATACAGAGTTCAGCTCCAACCCTGATAAAACACACATGAACCAGTTAGTGGCCTCTATGCCCAGCTAGAGTTTTAAAGCCAATGATAAACTTCTGGTGAAAGCTTAATGTGACTATTTTAAATTTCATAAGGTTCCTTTTACAGCATGGATGTTGTAATGCAATTACAATATATTCAGTTAAATAGCCTTAAAGGTGCTGTAGGTGATCTGCCACAATGCTAACCGGTTAGCATAAATCTCTGAACCACAGTCCCTCCTCTGTCCAAAGCCAAGCCTCCTGAAACATGAGTGCGCTCACCTTAAAGATGACAGCAGAACCCTCTTTTTATGTGTTGAGCTAAAGCAACTAGTGCTTGGCACAGGAATTACACTTATTACTAAGCCATACTTGCATGCTGTTTCGGAACGAATATTCAGAGTAGCATGGTAAACGCTATAGAGAGCGCGTCACAGGTCGTCATTGTTCAAAAATGAACCAATATGATGTGAATATAAAATCAATAGTGCTATTTACTTGTGTTTTGTATTTAAATTAAATGTAAAAGGTCCTTTTTGAAACTGAAAATAGTCACATCAATCTATCGCTGGAAGATTTGAGTGGCTGAACAACACTTCTGTGCATATAACCCATTCATAACACAACACAATCTACATCAGCTTTCTGTGACAAATAGTTTAGAAATAGTTTTAAAACATACTTTAACATTATTGCGTGACAGAAAATTAAAATTCTGTGTGCATATAGCCCATTACTACCTGAACTGCACTTGATAATTACAGGCAGGTGTGTATGATATGGGTTGCAACTGAAATCTGCTGAAAGGTAGATATCCAGGAACAGGGTTAAGCACCCCTGCACTAGACCATGTTGATAAATGTCATGAGATTAAAGATTTGTACTTTGGCAGCCCTAAAATATTAACTAATCAATAAATAAATTATTTACTAAATTAATAAATAAAGTCATGAAAAACGTATTAAAAGTAACAATTTCAGAACTAAACAATAACTAACTCTAAAAAAAGACATAGAATTAAATAAGAAATGATAAATAAAACTGAAATAAAATTATAAACATGAGTAGGAAAAAAATATTAATTAAAATAGGTTTTAACAGAAATGAACTGTGCTTATAAAAAGGCTAAAAAGTTATTACACACCTAGAAAAATTACCCTTAATTTATTTGGTAAAAATAAAGAACAATGAATAAAAATATACAGTTGAAGCCCCCTGAATTATGAGACCCACTGCTTATTTTTTCCCCAAATTCTGTTTAACGGAGAGCAGATTTTTTCAGCACATTTCTAAACATAATAGTTTTAATAACTCATTTCAAATAACTGATTAATTTTATCTTTGCCATGATGACAGTAAGTAATATTTGACTAGATATTTTTCAAGACACTTCTATACAGCTTAAAGTGACATTTAAAGGCTTAACTAGGTTAATTGGGCTAATAGGCAGGTTAAGGTAATTAGGCAAGGTATTGTATAACGATGGTTTGTTCTGTAGACTATCGGGGGGAAAAAATAGCTTAAAGGGGCTAATAATTTTGATCTTAAATTAGTGTTTAAAAAATTAATAACTTCTTTTAATCTAGCCGAAATAAAACAAATAAGACTTTCTCCAGAAGAAAAAAATGTTATCAGACATACTTTGAAGATGTCCTTGCCCTGTTAAACATAATTTGCGATATATATAAAAAAAGAAAAAAAAATCTAAGGGGGGACTAATAATTCTAACTGCAACTATATATATATATATATGTGTGTGTGTGTGTGTGTGTGTGTGTGTATATAAATATATATATATATATATATATATATACACACACACACACACACACACATATATATATATATATATATATATATATATATTCATTCATTTTCTTGTCGGCTTAGTCCCTTTATTAAACCAGGGTCGCCACAGCGGAATAAACCGCCAACTTATCCAGCTGCAACCCATCTCTGGGAAACATCCACACATTCACACACACACTCATACACTACGGACAATTTAGCCTACCCAATTCACATGTACCGCATGTCTTTGGACTGTGGGGGAAACCGAAGCACCCGGAGGAAACCCACACGAAGGCAGGGAGAACATGCAAACTCCACACAGAAACGCCAACTTAGCCGAGGTTCGAACCAGCGACCCAGCGACCTTCTTGCTGAGGCGACAGCACTACCTACTGCGCCACTGCCTCGCCCATATATATATATCTTAAAATAGTCAAAATCTAAATGATCAAAACTAAAATTAAGTAAAACTATGTAATTAAATTACAAAAATTAAAAATACTTGAAAAGTATGAGGGAAAAAATCATAGTTTCACCTGTTAGAAACACTAATAAATGTGCATACAATCTTCACTATTTACTTACACATGCACATATTAAGACTACTCTATATCTAATGAGTGAAATCTTCCATCAGACCTTTTTCCTCACCCGGGCTCTCAGGCTGTTTCTCAGTGCTCTTTTCCTCGGTCTCAGGTATGGAGCTTTGTTCTTGTTGTGCTGTGTTGTTGAGCTGCTCGAGAACTGCCTGAACGATGGGCACCATCATGGCTGTTGTGGCCGTGTTACTGATCCACATGGAGAGGAAAGCTGTTACACCCATGAAGCCCAACATTAACCTGCAGTATCGCAAAAGAGCTCTTAGTCAAACAGTATAAATGCTGTTCAAGAAGCTTCTTAATGAATTCTTAAATGCTTACAGAGCTGGTCGAACCCCCACAAGGAGCAGCACCCGCAGGGCGATCCGCTTGTGCAGATTCCAGTGTTCGACAGCCACGGCCACCATCAGGCCACCCAGAAACAGCATGTTAGTGTCCTTAAGGTACTGCATACATACCTGTACATAATATACAGTACACAGGATAAATCAGATGTTTTAGTTGTTTTGGGATATACTTGAGCATATTCTGGTGGCCATTTCTAACCAACAAAGATTTAAGGGAATAGTTCACTCAAAAATTTAATTTACCCCATAACTTACCGCCAATTCATTCTTTGTGTATATGACTTTTTTTCTGTCAGACAAACACAGTCAACATTTTAGCCTGGTTCTTCCATGCTGTATAATGATGTTGTTTAGTGGCTTTTATTTTGAAGCTTCCAAACGTAAATAAATCTATCTTAAAGTAACCCATACACCACCAAGGGGTTAGCAAATGTCTTTTAAAAGGAAATGATGTGTTTTTGTAATGCAACTGTGTTTATACCAGCCTGATCTCACGAGTAAACGTAGGTATTTTACGTTTTGCCAGTTTAGTGACTAATTTGTATGCATTCGTACGAGTTCAGTCATATGAAATTGTATGATTTTAAAGAGAAGGTGTGGCACCTATCCCCACCCCCAACCCCAACCATCATTGGGGGATCATGTACATGTTGCTATCCATCTTATGGCATGCATCATTCATCGTACTTCAGTCGTGCATGAGGTCCATTTGGCTGAGTGGAGATTATAATTTAAAGTGATAATTTCTTTGCTTTTGAAAGATTCAGAATAAAAGTCAGTATACAACACATTTACCCAGCTTGGGAGAGCCAGGATAAAATGTAAAACTACTGTGTTTGTTTGAAAGAAAAAGTCAAGTTAAAAGGTAAATTTTATTTTTGAGTAAACTTTTCCCTTAAATCTTTGTTGGTTTTCTAGAAATTACCACCTGAATGTAACCATGGATACATTTTAAAACTAGTCTGACAGTGTTTGTTTGGCAGAAAAAAACTTGAATTTATACAGAGGGATGGCTTGAGGGTGAGCAAACTATAGGGGCAGTTTTAATTTTTGGGTGAACTATAGGATAAAAACAGAACAATAATCTCAAACCGAAGAGGTGACAGGATGTGAGACAGTATTTTTTTTTCCATTAAGAACCAAATCAAATTTAAAAAAAAGGGTCCAATACAGAAAAAAAGTTTTTTTTTTCTCTATTAAGGCAAATTTTTAAGCCCCCCACCCCCCTCCCCCAAACAGCTGTATGTGCATTTACATTGCATAAAAATTACCATTTCAATAGATGTTATGAGATTAATGTCTTGACTATAAAATATTGAACCTTCAAAATCAGACAGCTGAAGTCTTAAAACTTAAAAAAAAAAAAAATAGTATCCTCAGCTCCCAAACAATTAAACACTGCAATTAAAAGAAAAGTTGATGTAAACATTTTCCTGATACATGATGTGAACAGGTTTGCTGACACTATAGTTTAAGAATCATTTCCCACTAACTACTGGCTTATTCGAGGCCCACACAGAATCTGTGCGTGCAGATTTTTAGCCCATCATTAATTTTGTTTTTACTTGAGTAAATGTGTGTAAATCTATATTTATTCAGATTTTTAATTATTACAGTAATATTATTGACTAATGTGAAATGTTCATCAGATTTATGTTTGTAAAGTAATATTTTCTGTCGTTTAGTAGATCTATTATATGAGAGACTTGCTTTGTTTACCAAATAAAGTGAATCTAATTGTATTTGCATTTTAAACATTAAATAAAAGTTAAAAGGATATTATTTTTTTTTATTTCACATATTAAGGTTTTAGTTATGATACTCGCAAAATAATTCCACAGAAATCCACAGATTTTTAAAAAAAAATCTCTGCAGAAATTGCAAAAAATCTCTGCAGATTCTGTCTGGCCCTACTTGTTACCTGCTTATTATTAAAACGTCAGCTGTTTATTCTTACTTTTAAAGTATGATTTTATTCTACAAGTGTAGTCCTAAAACCTAAACCCAACTACCTTGCTAATAAGTAACCTAACTAGTTAATAGCGATAATTGTACTGTAAAATAAAGTGTGATCATTTCCTTTGAACTTTTGCAATTTAAAGAGAATTAATGAATCATAAATTCTTAATTTAGTTACAAAGCACTCCAACATTTCTGGAATTTGGGTTGTATTATTTTACACTACTATACAAAGCTGATAATATTAGAGCTGATAAGCTACAAATGTGAAAGGAGGACAAGTGTAGATCCAGCATAAGACTGTGCTGATAGATAAGTTGTTTTAAAACCCATATAAAACCGGAAAAGAAAGCAACCCTAAATGCCCCTTTACACAAAGAACAACAACCATAAAGATAACTATATTGGCATCCACATCAGTGGACAATATTATTCTGTTTACTATAAGTGTGCCATCTGTCACCTGCCACTTCAAGCTTTTCAAAGCAGAAGAATTTATGTTAACAGGCAATATTTTTATCTTTCAAAAACCTAAATCAATTGTTTTTTACACTGTTACCTTATCTCTGGACCTTAATAATTATAGTTATAATTACATATAAAGTCCCAATTAGCACCTTAAAGATTTTAGCTTAATTGCACATTTTAGAGGGCACATTTTTTTGAGTTTGTATTTTAGCTAAAAAATATAAGTATGTACTATTTGTAAAGTTACCCCCCCCCCCCCCCCTTATTTTTTATTTTGAAAAGTCTTTGTCTTAAGTCACATATAATGAAACACTGCAACACTATATACTGTAAACATATCTGTTAACCAGTGGTTTCCCTGTTTTGTGATTCACAAGTGTTTTCCGTTTATTTACAGATGTAAATCGCATTTTGGGATGTTGATATCTGCTCTGTTGGCTTTTGATGTTGAATAGTCAACTCTTTAGTTACAAAAATGACTTTTATTGACATTCTAGTATTCTGAATTAACATATGCAAGAAATAATATATAGAGTCATAAGTCTATAAGTAAAGTAACAGAAAATGTACTGGCACTTGTTTACTACTGGTTTTACTGGTTTACAAGGTTTATGTACCATAATATACAGTACAACACCAACTGAGATAATATATCAATTTAAACTATATAAAAGCGTTAATAAAAGTCACTTTTCAAATCTTGGCAATTAAGGATTAAAGTTGTTGGTAAAAAGATCAAGGTCCTATAATGCAATTAAAAAAAAATTTAAATTAAAACATGAATCACAAAATACAGAAAACTGCTAATTAACAGATATTTTTACAGTGTAAATATATAAATTAACATACATTATTTAGAGTAAACTTTTAAAAAGTGGAGACTTTCAGTTATTGAGGTAAAATGAGTCTATTTAAAAAGAAAGTTATATTTTAAAGCAAAAGACACTGCTTAAGTTAAACATATACAATATGACTTTTCTATGTGACCTGAAACGTACGTCTTTGGACTCCATGATTCTGAAGAGGGGAAAGAGCACAGCGGGCAGGAGAGCAGTGACAGCCAGCGGCAGCACCTCTGTACACCAGTAAACTGCCATCAGTACCACAACATATGCACATCCAGCCTCCTGCAGACAAAAACACCTCACAAGAATATAGGCCTACAGTGCATCTTTAGTTAGATGAAAATACTGAGAATTCAGTGTTACAGTTTTGGTCCCACTTTATATTAGGTGTCCCTAACTACTATGTACTTACATCAAAAAATAAATACAATGTACTTACTGTGTTTATAATGTATTTGAGAACACTTGTGGTGCTTTTGAGTTGGAATAAAGGTTGGGTTATGGGCAGGTTTGGTGGCATGGGTAGGTTTAAGGGTAGGTTAAGGTGTAAGGGGTGGTCAACAGTGTATTTAAAAATGTAATTACAAAAGTTAATTACAGATGTATTTACATACATGTATTTAATCAGACATAAGTACATAGTAAATACATGTATTTACATAATAAGTACATTGTAACAAACTATTAATTCCTATGTAAGTACATATTAGTTAAGGCCACTTAATATAAAGTGGGACCCAGTTTTTTATTACAAATAAATCTTGCTAACTTGAATTTCATTTTAATGTAACATTTAACACAATTTCAGAAAACAATTAAGCAGACAAAAGTTAGAAATGTTTAAACGTAAAAAAACTTAGTAAATTTTCTTTTTTAAATGGTGTGCTAACTTGTTAAATAAATGAACCATTCAGTTGTTAATTTAGTTTGTAACCTGGTTAAACACAATTGTAATGTATAACTGTCTTGTTTTGTTTTCTGCATTTAAATGTTTCCACTTAAGATGCACCTGAGGAGCAAAGTTCCCCTTTCGTCACACAGAATCAGAAAGCACAGCATAAAACATGGCACGACAATCAGACATTTGTCAAAATAAAGCTATAAAGTGCTTTACACGTTTTTGTTATCTTGCTTTGAATTATGCAACGTTGCTACTTAGAGGAGGATTTATGATTTTGACACATCAAGAAGACCGGCACCTGCCCGCTGCCGCAACAAATGAGAACTTATTCATGAGTTTAATTAAATCGAGAGACTTAGAAATAAATTAATAAACAAACAAACAGACAAAACAAATCAAGTTTACTAAGTTACCGAATGAGGGTGGTCGATTATTTTCTTTCTACAAACACTTAGATTTTTTTTATTATCATTGTATCGTATCCCCAAAACCAAAAATCCTCGCGACACTAAAGGGTTAAGACAAAAATAGGGCATTGTGAGTTTGTGGAAGGAATGTGTCGCCCCAGTGTCACGCATGGTCTTGAACACATTCTTGCTTGCTAAAATACAGAGAAAACCGGCAGAATGAACCCCGAAAGATGTGTAGAAATACACTCTGTCTTCACACATGTTTTACACTAGACTGGCCTGTTTGAACGAAACAGCACTCGTAAAAAGTATTTATATGGAGCTTCAGCTGTTCAGTTAAGCACATCACTGCCTATTTAGAACATTTTACATGCTTCATAAAATTAGCCTTACCTTTGATCCAATGACAAGTGGCAAAGGAAGCAGAAGAAATGGAGTGCAAAAAAGAATCAATGTATTTTTCATCTTCCATACTAGTTTGAGTGCACGTGAAGCCATCATTTCGGCTTTGGATAACTTTACAATGAAATGTCCAAACGGTGAGAAACTGCGCAAAACTTCTGTGCGCTGATCTCTGGACAGTGCATGGGCTCACTCTCTGTCTGTCTTTTTCTTTCTCACACGCACGCACACACACACTAGGCGCATAATTAAGCGCGTGCCAGATTTGTACCACTTCATTCACATTTTCAACAAGGACAAAAACATTAACCCATTCATTTCATCACACACCTGACTTGTCACTGGATGTATTTGGGAAAAAAAAAGAATTTACATGACATGTGAATTACTCAATGACTTTACCCAATTTCAACTCTTACTAAAGTTTTTGCTTTAATAAAAGTGTACTATGTTGCTTGTTGTTTTTGCTTACTTATTTTTTCCTATACAAAGCCATGGTTAACATTAAAAAGCAAAGGTTAATTTGTGGGTACCAAGGTTTTATTTGTTTTTTTCTAGTATAGCTTAAAAAAAAGTTAAGCTTGAAGTCAACTGAGTTTTTAAAATATGTCATATAACTTACTTTTAGTGTATAAATATGTTATAAACATAAAGTTGAATAAAAGATGAATGGTGGTATAACCATTGTCCAAAAAGTCATCCCTCCCTTGAATCTTATCTTTAATGTTTAAGCTACTGTATTTGAAAATGTGGCTGACATTTATTTATTTATTTATTTATTTATTTATTTATTTATTTATTTATTTATTTATTTATTTATTTATTTTGTTCTCAAATGTTTTGATTCAGAAATTATATTGAATCTTCAGAATTTGATTTACAAACTTGCTGACTGGATAACTATATAAAGGAGTTGGACAATGAAACTGAAACAACTTGTTTGAGACCACAATAATTCATTAGTATGGTAGAGGGCCTCCTTTTGCAGCCAATACAGCATCTATTTGTTTTGGGCATGACAGATGCAAGTCATACATGGTGGCTAGAGGGATTATGAGTCGTTCTTTAAGCAGAATAGCGGCCAGGTCCAATAGGATCTGGATGCAACCTTTATGATGCAAGCTGAGACTGCATTTCTCAGTGATGCAATGTCAGACACAATGCACTCAAATGGAGCTTGTGACGAGTAGGGTTAGGGGTGGGGTTAGGTGAGCCCATTAAAAAAGCATTGGATGCAGCCCAGATTGCACTGCACCAGGTCTGCAGCCAGACCCCTCTCGCCAGGTCACTATGCTGTTGGAGGAAAATGTTTCTTGACTCACTCCTCCATTATTAGTTCAATAGTATTTAGATCTGGTGGCTGTGCCAGAAATGAGAGAGTTAACTTCACATTCATGTTCATCAAATCACTCTGTCACCAGATTTGCTGTGTGGTGCATATCAATCTGATACACGACACTACCTTCAGAATAGTTCGCAAGTCCTTGGTAGTGATGTGCCCATCTAGCACAAGTTTGGGGATGCCATGATATTGCAGCACAAACCATCACCGATCCACCCTCATGCTTCACTCTGAGCATGCAATAGTCTAGGAACGCTCCCAGATGTGAAAAAGACAGTGAAGTTGGAAAGATGTGGGTTATTTTGTTTTTGAATACAATCCAGGTTAGCACTTGGACATCCCCACAGCTTCATCTTGTGTCCACAGTTACTCCTGTTCAATGTGGTTTGTAGTTTTTGGTGGTACGCTGACATTACCTTTGATACATCTCAAAGACTTGGTCAGAGATGTGCCAGCACCAACAGTTTGTCCTCTTTTAAATTCATGTCACCTATAATTTTCCCAGGTAGCAAAGAATTCTGGCCCAGATTTGGCATAAAGCTGGCACAGCAGGCATTCGTCAGGCACTGGCATGCAGCACGTGGGCCAAACATGGTGGCACCGTCTACAGGCGGCTCTCAAGACTTGATATCAAATGTAGTATATGGCCCAGATGTTAAATATATCTGTGGGCCACGTAAGTTTGGCCTATCTTGAACCACTTTTAAGATACATTTCATTTATTAAGTTATTTTTGAGTAAAGAAAATAATTTGTCAACCAGGTCACTTCAAGAAAAAGCACAGCCATAAAGCGAAATGCTTCAAGGGTTTATATATATATATATATATATATATATATATATATATATATATATATATATATATATATATATATATATAAACATTGACACACCAACATATTTGGCCCAGTTCAAGCCCAATTATGGGTTATTAACTTGACTTATAGACTTGGGCCACATATGGTCCATGTTTGCCTCTTGTATGGAAGCCAGACTTGGTCCAGTCATGTACCATAATTCACAGCGGCAAGCAAATGCTGATGGTGTGGGCCAGGAAACTTTTTGCTATAGGGTTTGTGTGCATCGCAAAACTTTATGCAAAAACTGTGTTTTTACTCTAATATTTAAACCTCCAAACTCTCCTCTTACTGTTGGAATGTGTAATCACCAGGCTGGTCGGATTTAGCCATACATTTAGCTATATACACTTACTCCCAGGGCTGTTTATATAGAAGTTGATATTTTAACCACATCATATTGGTGTTTCGTAACATCTAATTGTTACGAGGTGGGTCGTTAGCCCAACACTCAATTTAGCTCACCCAGTTTGTCTATAGCGCATGTCTTTGGACTGTAAGGGAAACCGGAGCACCTGGAGGAAACCCACACAAATTGGGAGAACACACAAACTCCAAACAGTGATGCCAACTGACCAACCTTCTTGCTGTGAGGGGACAGCGCTACCTACGACACCATCGTGTCATCCTTATATATATATATATATATATATATATATATATATATATATATATATATATAGTCTCTAAAAATCTATACCTTTACTCACATTACATCCTGCATTCAAAAGACCTTTGAGAAAAAAATTTGTAAAAAGGCAAAAAAAACAAAACACATATCAGATAAATAATCAGCCTGAAAATGCATTTTTCCTTCAGAGCCAGTTCCTCTGCCAAGCTCATTTTCTCCTGTGGCTTAGTCTCTTCTTTATCAGAGGTCGCAACAGCAGAGTGAACCGCCAGTTCCTCTGCCAACTTTAACTTCAAAAAGCTTTATTAAGCTCCAAAAGATTTAGAGACCTCATTTATCCTCTAATCCAGGGATTTTCAGCCTTTACAGCCTCATGGATAGACACGTTTAGACTCTCAATCAGAGCTGGTTTTCTCAGCAACACTTTATAATATTATTGGTTACAATTAACGTCAAGAGAAATGTTGAGAAAATATTAATAAAAGTCCTGTTTTGTTATAAGAATTACACAGTAGGTAGAAAGACTGAAATAGTATTTTCTTGTGAAATATATTTCAAACAATCATTATGCTCACAGCAGCTTCTTTAGGTAATTATTGACATTTTCTTTACTATATTCACAGGTTTTCCCAGAAGTCTTGAAGAAAAGGGACTGGCACAACCTGAAGGAACTTGGAGGTGAGATCTGATGCGGAAGAGCAAGGGGAAGACAAAGATGTGCTCTTGTCTGAACAATGCTGAATGACAGAGATAAACAGGGGCCTGTAACTGCTGAAACTCTACACAGAAACTGCATGGAGCCAGACTCGCAGACCTGCTGAGAGATGGACAATAGTCTTCTGTGAGAGGCGAGGATGAGGTTTCCTATAGTCATCAGTGGGCTGTGGGAAATCTTCAGGGAACAGGTTTTGTGTTGCAGGTAAACTTTTTGCTGCTGCTAGGTGGTAAAAAAAAACACAAAACACAGAATAATCACCAACTTAATGGATGATTTATTTATTAAACAGCCAAACTGCAATAAAAGAAAATAAAAGTGATCAAACTGACCTCGGACGTCTTTGGTTTAATTGATTTATTTCCCACTATATCAACAAATGCATATGAGGAAAAGAAAACAAAAAACAAGGACTTGTTATTGTTATATAGTTTTACAGCACTATTGTGAAATGTTTAACAGACAATACAAAGTACACCATGATGTCAAAGGAACACTACATTTTTGTTTGAATTATTAATTCATCATTTATTCATTTTCTTTTCAGCTTAGTCCCGTTATAAATCTGGGGTCACCACAGTGGAATGAACCACCAACTTATCCAGCGTGTTTTTACGGAGCAGATGCCCTTCCAGCTACAACCTATCTCTGAGAAACATCCACATACTCATTCACACACACTCATACACTACGGACAATTTAATTCACCTGTAACACGTCTTTGAACTGTGGGGGAAAACGGAGCACCCGGAGGAAACCCACGCGAACGCAGGGAGCACATGCAAACTCCACACAAAAACGCCAACTGATGTGTGAAAGTAACATTCTGTAGTGCATTTAGTGATTTCTTAACAGGCACACAAGGTCTTAAGATGTTATATTAGGCTAGATTTAGGTTGTGAGGTCAGGTGACCAAAATTCAATCTAGCCAGCATCTAAGGACCATGTTATTTTGATGTCCAATAATGACGTCAGATGACATTGATATTTGATTGATAATATGCTGTTTTTAAGTGACCAAAATCCAATGTCGAGCCAACATCTTAAACTAACGTCATATTGATGTCAGATACTGCCATTTAATCATCAGGTATGGCAACTAAAATCCAATGTCTGATAGACGTCATAGTGGTAAAGTATACACATTGTCAAGCTGTAACATCATTAGACTTTGACATTTGGTTGATTTTAGGTTGGACATTGACAACGGTCGGATGTTGGGTTCTGACGTCAACCCAATTTTTTATTTACAAACAAAATGCAACATCCCTATGACATTGGGGTACGGCATCAATCTGATGTCTTGTTTATGTCCTGTGACTGATTAGCGTTTAAGACCATTTCGGTCATCATACAGTGAACATATGTCATCTTCTCAGTGACATGCATCTAAACAGCCTCTGGCTCAATGCCTGTAAAGATATCGAACATCTTCTTGGACACTTTTAATTCTTCCAAGCAGTTTGCTTCAATAAGAAATAGCTCATATTTTGAGGTAGTTCATTATGCTGTGATTTACCCTATATGTGCAGAAATCAAAAGACAAATAAAGTAGTGACTGCAGATTGAAGGAAAGTAGTACAGTAAAAGTACCAATACTGCAGTAAAATGCACTCAAGGGAAAGTAAAAGTACACATTTTTTAAATTACTTAGTTAAGTACAATTCCTAAAAAACTAATTTATATGGA